CTCGTCGGAGCACCTGCTGCTCCTTGGGCTCGACGGGGCGAGCTCGTGAGGCGCGTTCTGCATGCCGCATGAGCAGAAACATCTGCGAATGCGCAGTTCGTTGTGCTCGTACGGCTCGCGGAGGCCTCGAAGGCACGCCACGAGATCAACTGATGCGTGGCGGCACTAATATCCCTCGTTCAGAAGTCGTCAAAGACATCCAAATCCCAGAACTACGAAAGTTTCCTCAAGGACTTGCCTGCGGTCCGGGACGACTGTAGATCCGCCGTATACACCCTGGACTACACAGACAACGGCGGGACGAAAAGCGAGATTTGGCTCTACACATGGTGCGCCGCGCTACGCGGAACCTTTACTTTGATCCCGCTGGCATACACTGACCCGCCACCATTCAGGTCGCCTGACGATACCGATGTGAAGACGAAGATGTTGTTCTTCCAAAGATGCATTGCGACGCCGTCTCCCAAGATCGCACTGGATATCCGCGCGACGGATATTGATGACATTGCATATGAATCCGGTACATCTTACTCCACGAGTTCGCGCCTAATGCATGTACTTATCACTTCACAGTTGTAAAGTGTGCATTAGGGAAAACTCACGGCGGGTATCTCTCTGAATGTGAATATGAATATATTTTGGCAATAGGGAGCGCGGGAGAGTGGTGGTACTAAATACTATACTCAGGTGTTGCACATCACAGAATTCTTCTTTTGCTCGCCTTCCCCTCGTTCCTGGCGTTGAAATCGACTCACATGATTCCAATGCAAGTGAATATATGTATGGTTTTTATTCCGACCTCTCAAACAGCTGTTCTTCGAACAGACCAAGGAAGCATCCGGGGGGTCAAAATGAGTGAACCGTACATACTACACCGCAGACATCTGAGATGATGTGAGCCGTATGCCTTCGAACGCAGGTCGCTGATCCGAATCCGCTTGTTTAATTTCAAGCGGATAAATAATTGAACTTGCCGTCTTTAAAATTGGTCCGGAGGTAGGTTTTTCGCGCGGATACCGTGCATCGATTCACTGGTCTTGGTTCCGAAATTTTGACCTGCTTTTCGATGCCCTCGAAGACGTGACACCGAGCATGGAATTTGGGAAATTCCAGTCTTCTCCCCGTATAATGACTGGCCATATTTTATTCTTCTTCGCAGAACTCTTGAAATGGTTTGTGTCAGCGGTTCCCAGGTCCCCAGGATGAAAAGGCACACCACATCCTAGTATTTTGCGTCCGTATCACTCCCAAAATGTTGAAGTTGACGGAGGACCCTAACCTACCCTGATGGCAATTGTGATTTTTCCTGAACGCTGGGACCAGTGCTGCAAAGCACTCATATCGAGCCCACATATTTTATTACTAGCGGTTTGCCTGTGCTACGCTACTGGAATTCAAATCATTTCACCTTCACACCTCATTCTGGTTCCCATTTTCCCCTCATGTATTCAAAACCCTATGCTTTCATCATGCATATGTTAACATCACCTTCATCATAAACAATACCCTCTCATCTTCATACTTACAAATATATTCCACCCGTGCCTTCGTCACGGACTCCCGCCACGCACACGGTGGATTCCGAGCTCGCTGCAGACACGGTGGATTCCAAGAGCGTGGGACACCTTGCGAAACGGAGAAAACTCAACACTTGCCGACTTTCGACGACTGTGCGGGAATGACCACTCCAACCCGACGAAGTTGCAAGCAAGTTGCATGCCGTATTACCATCCTCAGCGAGGTATTTCAAAACGGTTAGTATGTGAGTGCATGTATCTCGCCCATTTGTTATTCAATCTTCGCACTTCCTTGACTCGGAATCGTGCGCCCCATGGTCCCGTCCCACTCTCCACATATATTCTGTCAGTAGCGCTATTTCATGGGTGAGCGACATTCAATAGCCCCTGCAGCTACATTCAACTCACATTTCAACGTGATCTGCAAAATAAGTAGGGAACCTGTGAAGGAGCGCGATTTCATCTGCGAGCGACACCCAATAACCTTTTTAGCTGCATTCAACTCACATTTCAACTTCATCTGCAAAATAAATATGTGACCTCCGAGCAAGGTCTCTGCCAACGCAGTCGGAGCTCCCTATTGTGGGAGTCTGGTCTTTATTCGAATATCAAAGATGTAGCCTCGGTACGTGTACGTACTCGCATTTACATACCTGAGCACAGCGACGGAAAAGCAACAAGTGAGAGGTAAAAAATTGGGGACCACACGATATAGCCTGGTATTTGTTCAACCGACGACTCCTTATTCCAATGTAGAAGAGCTATACAAAGACGGTTGACTTGACTGTACGTGCGCCCACCTCAGTCAGTGACACCTTCGAGCCAAGGGTCCTGCAATAACTCTTCGGCGGTGGCCCGGTCCTCCGGACTGAGGCGCAAACATCGGTGCATGAGTTTTGCCATCGCGGAGACATCAGTGGACGGTTTAGCCTTGCTATGTTTGCCGATCATGTCCTCCAGAGGCCACTGGAACACGGTGGGCTCTTTCTTTAGCTGACCTACATGGATGTCAATCAAAAAACATCCGGGGAATGTTGCAAGTTAAGAACGTACATGCTGCATTGAAATACTCGCCCGCCAGCGGGCAGACACTGAGCTGTGCCGCTCGGAAACTCTCTTCACCGGTTAATAAAATCATTTGATACAGTATGTTTTCAACCTCTGTCAAGCTGTACTTTTCATTGACACGGTACTCGAAGAGGGAACGAGACACGGCTAGTTCGAAGACCTAGCAGCAACCATCAGCATCATCAAGGCATCGCAGGATTGCGAGGCAAACCAGACATCCAAACGACCAGATGTCCGCTGGTGTGTCCCATTGTCCCCCAAGAAATGATTCTGGGGCTCGCAAAGGTAGCGTCGTTATTGGTCGATCATCATGAAGCTGGGAAGGTAAGGCTGCGTGAGATGATCATGAGTGTCACTTTCAGCAAGCTAAGAAAGGCAACAGCTCACCGCAGCCGAAGTCAGACAATACATAAGTGGCGCGGCGAGCGAGCTCGTCGGAGATCATGGGCAATGGTTGAGATACAGCAGCTTGTACAATGCCGTCCTGCGACATTTCCGGTGGATGGGGTCGCGATGGATCCTCTTTCATCCAGCGCTCGATGTCCGTAGTCTCCAAATCCGTGGTAAAAAAAATGATGTCGTGTTTAATATCGGTGTGCACGACGCCACGGCTATGCGCGTGAGCGATGCCGCGTAAAAGATGAAGAATGATACGCTTGGCCGTCGGGAGATCAAAAGGGTTTTTGCGGAAGTTGCTGAGAGCTTTCACGTCACCCCCATAGATGGGCAACACGAAACAGAGATGAGAGCCTGCCGAGCCGCGGCCGGGAATGGTAAACTCGTCCAAGAGTCGCACGCAATGCGGTGAGGGAGGGCCAGCAGACAAGAGTCTGAGAGCCTCAGCTTCCCAAGATACAGCCTTCTCATTCATCTCGGTCATATGGCCAGTCAGCGCCTTGACTGCAACGAATCCATTGCCGCTATGTTCCCACTGAGCGAACGTCCTTTCCTAAAGCGGATGAATAGCGCTTACACTTCGTCACGAGCCAGCCAGGTACTAGAGTGCATGCCCCAGCCCAGCTTCCGCAGGATCGTGTACTGCTGGTCATTTCCGACAGAGTCACCAAATTCAAATTGCGCCCAGCCGTAGCCTTGTGCGGCCGGCATCCCCCAAGCTTCTGAAGCGAAGGTCAAATCGACAACGGTCCTGCCTTCGGGATCGACCGAGAGACGCTGGTTCGTCGGCTCTATGGATGTCGACATGTAGCGAAATCTAGCGCAAATGCGAGCGATTAGGTGAGGTTGTCGGCAAAACACTGCACGTAGCATGGGGGCTATAAAAGCAGAAATCGGGCAACACCGGCGCCTTACTCATTACGTAAAATGACATAGTGGCATTGTGGCAAAGAGAGGGCCACGCGCGACTGTCACGTTCGCGTACCGTAACGTTCAGTGATTTGACTTGATCGGATCTGGCCTGTGGATCCACAGGACGGATTTCTTTTTTTTTTTTTTTTTTTTTTTTTGAGGAGCGTTGAGTGGTAGTAATCTTGCCGGGCAAAAGGGAGTTTGGCCCATTGGCCGGTCCCGTCCCCGTCCCCCCCGCGGAGTTCAAGCGCAACTCCCCGGGGGTTCCGGGCCGACATAGTCGGTCGCCCACTACCCGCTGATTGAGACCTCGGACTTGGAACCAGGTCAGGTTTAGTGTAAATCCTCTCGAGGAAATGCGTCTGCCGCATGCGTGCCTATGGCACGGTATGTGGGACTGCAGCTCTCTCGCAAGCTCGGGCTTCCCGGCGACCGAAGTCGCCGTTCCACCTTCATTGCCTACGATCAGCCGACACCCACTAAAACCCCGATATTTTTGGGCCAATCCCTGGCCAAGGTACGTTCGTCCTTAAGTGTTTTTTTCCAAGTCCTTTTAACTAGTGAGATTTTCAGAGCCTTCTTTCCATATTTAAACTCGTCCGTCATAGCACAATCTATTGCCAGCCTGTTATTTATCGTCTTTAGCCATCGATTCCGTATTTTAGCCAGCGGGGCTGAGCCCGTTTGCTGGATTACTCTCTCGTTCCTCAAGCGCCAAATTAGGTGGGCAGATTCAGTGATTAATAACAGGACGGATTTCTACCCTTGCTCCGTTGTTTGATATTCGATCCGTGTGTTTCTTGGACTCGTTCGACTGGGACTCGCTCACCCAGCCGTTTTAACACTATCTCTTTCATCAACATGTGTGTTTCTTGGACTCGTTCGACTCGGATTTGCTCACCCAGCCATTTTAAAACTAACTCTTTCATCAAAGCCGTGATTTCAAGTTTCTGGGTTTGATTTCTTTGGGCAGAGAATATGGCCTGTGGATCCACAGGACGGATTTCTACCCTTGCTCCGTTGTTTGATATTCGATCCGTGTGTTTCTTGGACTCGTTCGACTCGGACCTGCTGACCTAGCCATCTTAAAACCCCTTCTTTCACGCGGTCTCTGTAGTATAGTGGTTAGTATGCTCGCTTGTGGGAATTCATCCTACTGTGGGATAATCCAATCGCGATTGACGCCAGTTCGATTCCGGCCGGGGACATTCACTTTTTGGAGATTTGCACAAGCGTCGTTATTTTTCTCTTTCGCCATAAAGAACCTGCAAACCGCAGCTACTTCAACAGTGGGCATCCAAGTAGGCAACGCGTACGTCGGCACGCGCTCCGGGATCGAGACTCGTGACACGGTTATCACTTCAAGTAAATGTTGCATCCGTCCATCGATATGCCGTCTCTTCGAAACATCTGATGATCTTGCTGGCCGGTATGCGTAGCCCTCGCCACCAATAAGTGTCTTCATTTTACGCGCAAATAGGCGAAATGCGCTGACGGTGTTGAATTTGGCTGTGGGTGTCGAACCAAAGGAACACACATAATGCCAAGAAAATAGCGGAGACCTGAGCAAGCGGACCCTCATGGGAGTACAATCACCGTACTATACCTAAACGAGCCTGAGCAGCCATGGTCAGTGGGGACCGTGACGTGAATGAACAGTGAAGTCACGGGAAATGCCGTCCGGATCACAACGGGTTGATCGGAACCAAGTAGCACTCCATGTCTTCAGGCTCTTGTCGTCCTGACTTACTCTGGCTACCCCGGGGCCGCCTCACCTCGGCCAGCAACCCGCCTGCCTTGCACCGTGAATGGAAGCGGAGTCGGCGGCGATCGAGTCACCGTTGCCGTTGACTCATGACTACCCCCGTCCGTCTTAAACAACGCAACCACGGACAGCAGATTCCAAGCGCAAGATGTCGGAACACCCCACTTCCACAGAGACACTCTCGGCGAAAATCTCCGCCTCCGATCCTCATAACCAAGCCCAATCTCCCATTTTTGCGATAATGTACCCCGAGCTCCGCAACATAATTTTCCGACATGCCCTCACAGAGTACGACAGCCCCGCGCGTCCCTACAGCAAACATTCCTATTGCTTCCGCCCTGGATTCAAGTTCGCTGGCAAGATCGACACGAACCTGCTACTCGCCTGTCGCCTCATATACCTTGAAACGCATCTCGCACCCATTGCGCTGAACGAACACGTCTTCTGGATGTGCCGTGGGCCGCCTGACCGCGTCGAGTCCGACCCCGACGCCTATTTTGTTCGTATGACGCCTCAGCAGCGCGCGGCAGTGCGGCGGGTGCGGTTCTTCACGCAGCTCTACTGGCTGGAAACCCAGGAGGCGCAAGAGTGGCTGCCAGGGCTTGTTATTCCCGAGCTGGCGATCACAATTCGCCACTCGGACTGGTGGTACTGGGAGAGCAGCGAACCACTCCGCATAATGAACCCCGATGAGGGATGGGGCGGATGGGTCGGAAGCATGCCCGGCCTGCGGCAAGTCCAGCTGGAGCTGGAAACCATCGACGATCAAAGGGAGCAGCTGGAGGAGCGGGTCCAGGTCGCGCTCAGTTGGTCATTTCTCCATCCGCAGGGCAGCCGGTCTCTGATTCACGACGGCGACGACCCGGCGATCTCAATGTGGCTGGGGACGTCCAGACTGTCTCCGGCTCGGTATTATGAGGAGGAAGACGAGGAGTATGGCGACGAAGAGTACTATGGTGATTCGGATGAGGAAGGTGGATCAGAGGATTCAGGTGGAACGGATGTCGAAGACGGTACGGGGATTCAACGATCAGAAAATCAGCTCCGCCTTGTCGATGACAAAGTCGAGACAGAAACGTCGGGGGTCGGTTCGGCTGAAGCTTCGGGTTCTCAACAGTTGGTACCTGTGGCCGCCAGCGAAGAAGCCTTCGCCCCGAAGGAACTAGACCGCGAGGCAGAATTAGACCTCAAATTTCCCCTCGACTTGAAATTTCATGTCCGAAAGCTCAGATTCATCATCGACAGCCGGTTGGTTTAGGTGTATATTATTTATTCGGACTCCAGTATTTAATGCTATTTGCTGCGAGTAATACCCGAGCCTTGTCAAGACCTTAATGGCCAGTTCAGGACTCCAGTTAATTAGTCTAATACTTACCTTCACTTAGGAATTATGAAACCACCTGCGAAGTTTACACTGGGCGTTCCTCGTAAATACTAGACGTAAAAACACAGATTACATATCTGTGGATAGCAGGGCAGCGTTTGCCCTCCAAACAACAATGCCATGAAGCGCAAGCTTGTCTATGGTATATTCTTTCCACACCCACTTATTTCCCTTCTTCTTCATGAGTCCCGGCCTCCAATTGTTCTCTCCTTCGCCAACAATCCAAAAGACGAGGCCCAACTCAGCGCAGTATTTGGGGAACCAAAACCATGCTTTGTCGGCCGGACGAACGAGAGGCAGCTCAAAGTCATAGATAACTTACACGTCCAATGAAAGGAGCGCAACGAATCATGGACCCTCCGCAACTCGATTGGTATATTCTGGGACAACTCAATCTCGGCTTACCTATAGAAAACTGACGTCCAAATCTGGACGTCATCAATCCAGTCTACATTTGCAGCATTAGCTACTGTGCAACCTTGAAGCCGCAACGAACGGCTCACAGAAACAGGGGAACATCTCCAGGAAACCAGCTGTGCCTGCGACACGTTCCTCAGTGATAGCGCTCTCTATCAAAGGCGGCATGCTGGCCAGAGTTGTGGCTTCCTTGACTCCCAATGCGCTGTGGTCGTAGACCTCGGCATCAACGAGGATAAACGAGGTAGATGGAATCCCTTCGCTCTCGGGAAGAAATTTCAGGTGGAATCTGAAATGTTGCGAGTGGAAATCTATCGTAGGGTCAGAGATGTGCAGAGCCCAGGTTCTGGCTTCTTCCAAACTATGGATTTCTACCCAGTCTTCCGCAAGCCCCAGGCGATCTTGCAAAGAAAAAGATCCGGGCGCGCGCATTTTGCTGGTGCTTCGTCTCGAGAATCGCGTTGGCTTTCCGGTTCTCTGCTTGTTATTTGCAGAACGCTCTGTGCTGCGGCCAAAATGCCAGCAGCTCCCGGCTCTACGAAATAAAAACCAATGAGCGTTGAATCAGTACGTCCGCGATAGTACATACACATAATCGTAAACTACGACAGCCGGTGCAGAGTGGAAGAGCGTCTTCTCCGGTGGCACGCTTTTTATCACAGTACGCACAAGCCTCCGGAGTGTTCTGACTGTAGGGAGTTTATCCGTGTTGACTTTGAACACAGTTTTGCGCCCGGGGGAGTCTGGATCGATAGCCATGTGAAGGATGGTTGCGGATGGAGGTGTGCACTACAGCCATGAGCAGCCATGGCACGGTCAAAGAAACAAAGAACAGAGGTCCGGTCGGTCCGGTCGTCCGGATCACATTCTCTAACAAACCGATTTAGGCCTACACAAAATCGTAAACACAATGCACATGCCTGCGGAGTATTCTAGTCTACTTAGGCTGGCTCAGGCTGTTAGTTAGTCTGTGAGTTCATCCGTGTTGACTTTTTGCGCTCAGGGGCGCCAGAATCGGCCATGGATCCTCGAACGTCCAGGGCAGCTCCGAGTTCCAACTCCCGAGTCCTTGCCGTCCCTTTCAAAATCTATCCACCAAGGACAAACTTGGGACAAACCACAAACACAGCCACACCGACAGATTGGGCCAATAATGGTTCGGCCGAAACCCAAAACCCGAACTCCGCAGGTAGCGCTCATGCATCATGTCATTGCATGATGCCATGATTCCACTCCCTCACTTGAACTCTCTCGACTCACCGAACATCGAGCATGGAAAGGATGAATGTGTTCGTGGTAGGAGCCGGTACGTGGGTAGCCAGCCAATGAAGACTTTCTGATCCATGGCCATCCGCAGGGGTGGTTGGACTCTCGACTGCGATCCGGGCGCTCGAGGCTGGATACAACGTCACGATATTCGCGGAAATCTTTCCTGGGGATCCAAAAAGCATCAAGTACACCTCATGCTGGGCGGGGGCCGATCACATCAGTGTTGTAACAAGCAGCACTTTTATGCACGGTTCGTTTTCTGATACTAGTCAATAATTCTCATCATCCACGAGCGTCTAAGAACTGGAACGGGAGACGATGCAAGCCTTTCTCCATCTCATTGAAGTGGATCCTCTTGTCCCTGTAATGTTACGCCCGCATGTAGAGCTCACACAAGCTGTACGTCCGTCCGACTTCGCCAAAGTTGATGGATGTTCAATATTTTCAGGCCGGGCCAGACATAAAGAAGAAATACGACCATCTTTCCCAGTTTTACTCCGATTTCCGTTCTCTTCGTCAAAGCGAACTTCCGGAAGGGGTTGTGGCCGGTGTAATGTTCCCGACAGTCAGTGTGCAGTTTTCGAATTCCAGAACGTCAACCGAACCCAGGCCCAGATTCATGTCGATGTGCCCAGGTATCTACCATACCTGATGAACCGGTTCTTACACGCGGGTGGACAAGCCTTCAGAATGACCATTCCCTCTCTTTCAAGCCTTATTGCACGGAATGATCGCCCGGTTTTAGAGGCTTTCCCGCTCTCTGCGGGTTCGCCCCCATCCTCGGACCCTGCAGCTGTCATCAATTGCACCGGCCTCGGAGCATTGTCGCTGGGAGATGTTCTTGGTAATCCACGTCTCCATTCTTACCATCTTCGACGTCCTGATAGTTATTCGAGACACGGACGTTTATCCCACTCGTGGTGAAACACTACTTATACGCGCGCCTTGGGTCCATCATGGCATGACCTATTACTGCCAGAACTCCGACGTTTCGTATATAATTCCACGGCAAAGCGGCGATGTTATCCTTGGGGGCACATGGCAGATTGACGATTGGTACGTTTTCTTTCACCAACTATGGATTTCATCTCACACGGCGCTTAGGCATCCTATTTCGCGCCCCGAAACCGTGAAATCGATCAAAGAGCGAGGGATCCACGCATATCCGGAATTGCTACCTCCGAACAAGCGCGAAAACCCAGACATCAATGATCTCGATGTTGTCGAAGAATGCGTTGGTCTCCGGACCACCAGGAAGGGCGGAATCCGCCTGGAAACTACCTCGATCGGTGCGCTCGACTTCAGACTTAAACCTATGTCGCTGATCATATAATAGATATAGGCGGAAAGGAGTTCCCAATCATACACAACTA